AGTTTGCATCAGGAGCTTCTCTGCACACCAGATGTACATGCAAAGGTCAGTGATCCAGGCTGGCTGAGGCTAAGGCTAGAGAGGATCATGGTATAAAGCACTTGTGGAGGGCACCTGTCTCTCTGTTTCTCTCATGGGAGAAATAAAAAATACATTAAAAAAACACTATACTTGTCATTGCTGGTTCAAATCCTGTCTCCCCTACCAGCCTGTGAACAGTTGCTAAAGATGAGAGGGTTTGAGAAGCAGAGGTGATGGGGACCGAGGGAGTGGTGAATGGATACAGAGGGCAGAGAGGGATCGAGAATAGTATTTGAGCTGGATAGCAGGGCTAGCCTTGCGGAGTGGGGAGTGGGAAGCAGCAAACAACCTGTGAGGGATCTGGGTGATAGGGAAATCTTTTTCTTTTTTTTCTTTTTCTCTTTGAGTTATTTTGCTCTCAGTGTGTGCACTGGCCAGAGAGACAGAGAGAGACAGACAGAAAGTGAGAAATCACCCACCCCCCCAGGGAGGGATGGGCATGCCGCAATCTCTTCTTCTCCATTCTCCTCTCAGGATTTGGGGCACATGTGTTCTGGGACTTGAACTGGGATTGGCCACATGGAAGTCCAGCGACATAACTGTTCTGCCTTCTGCTGGTCCCAGGAAATCTTCTGAGGGGAAAATGGAGGCCACCTACTGTGTGCCATGTACTGAGCTTGCTATCTCTATATACGTCATCTTTTAGAAGTCACGTGTGCTCTCCAGAGAGAAACAGAGGGACAGAAAGAGGAGAAGAAGGCATACCCCCTGGGCTGTGGTCATACTACAGTCCTTTCTCATTTCTCCATCCTGTCAACATTTTGGGTACACACACATCTGCCCAGCATGTTTTTCTTTTCTTTTTCTTTAAACATTACTATCTTTAAAATAATTATTTAATTGTATCATTATTACTTTAATTTGATCAGACACACACACACACACACACACAGGACAAATGAGAAAGCGAGCTGCTGGGTCCAGGGTTCAAGCCGCAGCTGGCCATGTGTGAATCTAGCACCTCAACCACCACCCCACCTGCTGGCCCCTAAACATCAATATTAATGTTGTATTTTTAAAATTATTTAATTATTATTATTTTAAAAAATTTGTTACAGGCACATGTGCTCACCAGAGAGAGAGAGAGGGGGAAAATGAGAAGGCAAGCTGCCGGGTCTGGGACTTGAACTAGGGTCGGTCATATTGGGAGTCCAGCACCTTAACCATGACCTCACATGCTGGCCCCACTAATACAGTAATTCTATTGTACCTGAAGCCAAATCCTTGGTCTAAGTCTAGATCTTTTACCATAGGGAATATTTACTGTAACTTTTCAGATTAGCTTGCCTTTTTTTTTTTTCCTGTAGGGCACATGTACACACCAAGAGAGACAGACAAAAACAGAGAGGGGAAAGTGAGAAATCACCCCTCGGGGGGAAGGTCATAACACAGTCCCTTTCTCCTTCATTCTCCTCTGGATTTTTTTGGGCATGCACACACATGTGCCTGGCATATTTCCCAAGCCACCAGGTCCGGGACTTAAACCATGTACTTGGCCATGTAGAATCCAGTCATCCCAAGCTGCCAGGTCTGGGATTCAAAATGTGTACCTGGCCATGTGGGATCCAGCCACCTTAACCACCATGCCACCAGGCTGGCCCCCCAGTGTGTTTTCAAGCTGCTGAGGCTAGGATCCGACCATCGTGGTTGACCCTGTGGTATCCAGATCCCTTAATCGCCAGGCCATGGGACCAGCCCACATTATCTTACCTAATCTTCAAAAGGATCCTATGAAATGGGTATCACTATTTTAAAAAAATTGTTTTTTGAGGGAACCAGCAGTTAGCGTAATGGCTATGTCGCTGGACTCCCACGTAGTCAACCGTGGTTCGTGTCCCGGACCCGGTGGCTTAAAACTCACGCCGGGTGCGTGTGCATGCGTGCCCAAGATCCCGAGAGGAGAATGGAGGAGAAGGGATTGCGGCGTGACCATCCCCCCGGGGGATGATTTCTCGCTTTCTGTCTCTATGTCTCTCTCTGTCTGTCTGGCGAGCGCACGCGCCCTACAGTGAAAATCTCTAAAAAAAAAAAAAAATTGTTTTTTGAGAGGTTTTTGCTATAGAATGCCTGCGCTCACCAGAGAAAGAGAGAGACAGAGAGACAGAAAGTGAGAAATCACCCCCTGGGGGGATGGTCACGCTGCAATTCCTTCTCCTCCATTCTCCTCTCAGGATCTGGGGCACGCGCACACACGCACCTGGCGTGAGTTTCAGCCGCTGGATCCGGGACGCGAAACATGGTCGACTACATGGGAGTCCAGTGACATAGCCATTACACTAACTGCTGGTTCCTTATTTGGAAGCTGCCAGTTCTGGGACCCTAACCACAGTCGGCAATGTGGGAGTCCAGTGCCCTTAACCACCACGTCACCTGCCAGCCCCGAAATGGGTATTATTAAACTTAAGTTCAGAAGAGGAAATTGAGGATCAGATAAATCACTTATACATGATGATATAAGAATTAACTAAGTGAAGCCAAAGGAAAAAAAAACTTACTGGAGGTCACATGCACTCACAAGAGACAGAATGAGAGAAAGAGGGAAGGAGGAGGAAAGTGAAGAAGTACTCACTATGGGGAATGATCACGCCACAATCCTTTCTCTTCCATTTCTACCTCCTTTTAGGAATTTTGGCATGCATGCATGTCTGCCTAGCATGTTTTTCAAGTTGCCAGGTCCTGAACCATATGGGATCCAGCTGCCTTAACCCCCAGGCCACAGGATGGCCCAAGGTGAAGCCAAAATTGACCCAACCCTCATCCTAAAACCTATTATTGTTCTTTTATAACCTGATTTCTCTGGATGCTCCTAATCAGCAGGGTGTGCAGAGAAAAAAGGAGGAGAAGCTCTGATAGCTACATGCAAAATAGGATTCAGAGACTAGATGATGATACAGCAGTAACCCACGTGAACCCACATGAAAAGGTCTGGAGATTGATTGCTTAGGTCTCCTTTTGCACATTGGGCATATGCATGGGTACCTGTGATCTGAGCCAGCTGAGACTGGGGGTGAATCACAGTGTCAAGACCCTGTTGGATGGTGCCTGTCCCTCTCTCTCATAGAATAAATCAATACATTTGGCGGCCAGCTAGTGGCGTGGTGGTTAAGGGTGCTGGACACCACATGGCTAACTGCGGTTTGAGTCCCAGACCTGGCAGCTTGCTTTCTCACTTGTCCTCTCATTCTGTCCCTCTCTGCTAAAATTTAAAAAATAAATAAGTACGTACAGTTAAATAAAATAATTCTTTAAAAAATTAAGACAGTAAGTTAAAAAAAATGGAGGTGGGTCAGCTGGTGGTGTAGTAGTTAAGGCGGTTGGATTCTATGTGGCTGACTACATGGTTTGAGCCCTGGACCTGGTGTTTTGGGGGGGGGGGGGAGGGACCGCCAGTTGAGGGGAAAGGGACCAGCAGTTAGCGTAATGGCTATGTTGCTGGACTCCCATGTAGTCAACCGCAGTTCGAGTCCTGGACCCGGTGGCTTAAACTCATGATGAGCGCGTGTGTGTGCGTGCCCGAGATCCCAAGAGGAGAATGGAGAAGGGACTGTGGTGTGGCCGTCCCCCCTAGGGGTGATTTCTCACTTTCTGTCTCTCTGTCTCTCTGTCTTTCTGGCGAGAGCATGCACCCTTATAGCAAAAACCTTTTTAAAAAAAAAAATGCTGCATTGCATGACTTTAGGTTGGACATGCTCTTTCCAGGCCCCACAAATCCCATCACTCCTTATTTCTTTACACCTTCTACATCCTTCACCTGATCTCTGGAGACATTTGGGTTTGGGTCCCTCTAATTTTGCAGAGGTGAGAATTCAGTCCTAGAGGAAAGATACTTGTCCAAGGTTTCACAATAACTGGCCAACTCGAAGCCTGAAAACCAGCGCTCCTAACACTCAAAGACTACAAGGTCTGTAGATGAATAGCCACGTTCAGAGCCATTTGTCCACGTATACAGAGAAGTTCAGTGAAAGTGAGAGCTGAGAGGTGGCGAGCAAAATTTAGGAAGTTAAGGTTATGGTACTGAGAAGACACTTTTGAAACAAATCAAGATTTAGGTCTTGCTAAAAAAAAAAAAAAAAAAAAAAAAGGGGGCCAGCAGATGGAGTAATGGTTACATTGCTGGACTCCCATGCAGTTGACCATGGTTGGAATACAAGACCAGGGGCTTAAAACTCACACTGGGCGTGTGTGGTGCATGCTCAATATCCGAGAAGAAAATGGAGAAGGGATTGTGGCTTGGCCATCCCCCCGGGGGTGGGGGTGATCTCTTGCTTTCTTTCTGTCTCTCTGGTGAGCACGTGTGCCCTATAGCAAAAAATCTTTCTTAAAAAAAAAAAAAATTAGGGCCTGGCTTAAAGGGTGGTGTAGGCAGTAGGATGCCACTGTGAGATGCTGGAGCAATATGGGATGGTCTGGGTCAACCTGGAACAGGTCAGGATTGCCCATAGGCACAACCATGGTCCTGACTGGCTGGGGAGGATAAGGGAAGGATTGCTTTGTGGCAAGACCCTGTTAGGGCTCCCTGTCTCTCTTTCTCCTATGAAAGAAAAAAACTTAGAAACAATAACACAGATTTAAGGCTGAAAGAATGAGCCGAGTGGTCCAAGTTTGAACTTTTAATAGCCACCTTTATTTGTTGAATCAAATAAGGATCCTCAATTCCCACCCCCCCATCCCCGCCATACAAACAACGCATATCCCACTCTGACCACAAGGCGTCACTCTTGTTTTTTTTTTTTATTTTTTATTTTTTTTTAACCAGTGTTTCAGAGATTGTTTCACACATAGTGGCAAGGAATTGACATGAAAGTGAAGAGGTAAGAGTGGGAACAGTGTCTTAAGTCCAGGGCAAGTGGCTAGATTCAGCTCTATTTTGGGAAAGCAGCTGAAGGCAGCAGAGACTCTAGAACGCTAAGTTAGCAGGCATGACAAGAATGGAAGAACAGTGCTTCACATGCCATCAGAGTCTCTCCACGTAAAAAGCTTTGCCCATCTGATTTAGTTCCTGCTGGTACTGCCGGTGCTCCTTTTCAAACAGCTGGTTCAGAGCAGCTTGACGGACCTGGAGGGAGGGCAAAATGAGTGTGATGTTTGCTCTCTGCTTGGCACCCCTTTTTCTCCTCTCTTCCTGGTTACTTATTCATCACTATTTTTTCTGGGCCTGGACACAGCTGTGACAGAAAGCCAGGTGGTAGCAGAGAGGTAGAACCAGTGGAGGAGAAGCCTCTCCAATTTCTTCTCCATGGGTGAAGCCTCACATCCAGCAAATATTTGCTGAGAACAAGCTATGAACCAGGAACTCCATTAGGTACCCAGGATACAAGGATGGTGACATGATAGCAACTGACGACTCCAGGGAGAGAGAGAGGTGCTGAGAGGCAGGTGCTAGGTATTAAAGAGGCAGTTTTGAGTCTTACTAAATGAGAGGAACAAGGAACATAATAGAATTGGAACTTTAAAATGTGCCACCTGCTGGATGCAAAGAATTATTTAACAAAAAAGAGCTTTGGCATTTGGAGATAAGGAGTTGTCACTCTGGTGAAAACCCCAGAGACAAATAAGAAGGGTGAAGAAATCAAGAGTTAAAAAATCCCAGCAATTGGCATAATGGCTGTGTCGCTGGATTCCCGTGTAGTTGACTGTGGTTCGAGTCCCAGACCTAGTGGCTTAAACTCATGCTGGGCGCGTGTGCCCAAGATCCCAAGAGAATGGAGGAGAAGGGACTGCATCATGGCCAGCCCCCTAGGGGGGTGATTTCTCACTTTCTCTCTGTCTCTGTCTTTCTGGTGAGCGCACGCGCCCTATAGCAAAAACCTCTCCAAAAACAAAACAAAACAAAAAAACAGTGGGCGGGGCCAGCAGGTGGAGTGGTGGTTAAGGGCGCTGGAGTCCCATATCACTGTCAGCAGTTTGAGTCCCAGACCTGGTGGCTTGTTATTTAAAGAAAAAAAAAAAAACCCAGTGGGCAAAAGTCCAAGGCAGTAATGAATGAGATTTAGGCTGCCCAGTTAGAACTCACCATCAGGAGCTGCTTGTTGGCTAGTACCAGTTCCCGTACCATGGCATCCTGCATCCTTAAGGTGACATATGGATTCCTCCTCTGGCTCAATGTCATCTGCCACAGACACTGAGTATTTGAGTTTCGCCACCTACCCCAGGCACAGAGGTGGGGGTTGAATGGGTTGGAGTTAGGAGTGGAGACAGAAACCCCATCGAATGAGGTTCCTTCTTCACCCAGAAGCTCTGTGCCATCAAAAGACTACAAAATCCTTGGAAGGGTAACTGCAACTGGTTTGGGACCTACTATTAAGTGCCTTACATCATTTCATCATTACAATAACTATGTGGCTTAGATATTAATTTTTACGTAATGCAGACAGGGAGACTGAAAGTTATGAGTTGCCCAAGGTCACTTACTGGCAGAACTGAGTCCCAAGTTCAATCTCTCTAAGGCTAATACTCTTTTCATCACACCAGTGACTCTCAACCCTGGCTAGAAACTGAATTTTTTTTTTTTTTAAATGAGAGCGTGGCAGGTGGTACAATGGTTAGCATGCTGGAATCCCACATGGTAGACTGTGGCTGAGTCCCAGACCTGGCGGCTTGGTTTCCCACTTTCCCTTTCTCTCTGTCTCTCTGGTCAAATTAAAAATAATAATAACAAAATGAATAATTCTAAAAAAAAAAAAAAAGGACTGGTCTAGTAGCCTGGTGGTTAAGGGAACCAGATTCTACATGGCCGACTGTGGTTCAGATCCCAGGCCCAGTGGCTTGTAAAACATGCTGGGTGCATGTGTGAGCATGCCAAAGATCCTGACAGGATGGTCAAATGGAGAGGGGATTGTAGCACGACCACACCCCATCATGGGGTGCTTTCTCCCTCTCCTACTCCTCTCTCTCGAGCTCATGTGCTTCTGGGGAAAAAAAAAAAAGTTTTTTTTTGAGTATGTGCTATAGTGTAATGCTCTGCTCAAGATAATCCAGATCTTGGGACCAGCAGTTGGTGTAATGGCTATGTCGCTGGACTACCATGTAGTCGACCGCGGTTCAAGTCCCAGACTCAGTGGCTTAGACTCACATCGGACGTGTGTGCGTGTGTGCCCAAGATCCTGGAGAGGAGAATGGAGAAGGGATTGTGGCATGGCCATCCCCCCTAGGGGATGATTTCTCACTTTCTGTGTCTCTGTCCCTCTCTCCTTCCTGGTGAGCGCATGCCCCCTATAGCAAAAACCTCTCCAAAAAAATGAGAGAGGGAGAGAGAGAATCCAGATCTTTTTTTTTTGGAGTTTTCACTATAGGGCGCATGTGCTCGCCAGACAGACAGACAGAAAGCGAGAAATCACACCCCAGGGGGGATGGTCACGTCGCAGTCCCTTCTCCTCCATTCTCCTCTCGGGATCTTGGGCACGCACGCACAAGCGCCCAGTGTGAGTTTTTAGACACTGGGTCCGGGACACGAACCACGGTTGACTATGTGACATAGCCATTACGCTAACTGCTGGTCCCCAGAATCCAAATCTTGAGGCCAGCAGGTGGCATGGTGATTAAGGTGCTGGACTCCCACATGGCTGACTGTGGTTTGAGTCCTGGACCTCATGCTTTGCTTTCTCACTTTCTCTCTCTTACTCGGCTTCTCTGATCAAATTAAAATAAATTATTAATAAAAAAACGAAAAGAGAGAATCCAGATCCTACTGGTGACCACAGTTCAAATCCCCAGCTTGGTCAGCCTAAAAACATGCTGGACATGTGTGCAAGCACCCAGGATCCAACAGCTGAAAAACTGGACAAAGAGGATTGTGGCATGATCAGACCCTGAGGGTATTTATCTCTGTCTCACATGTGCATGCACCTGCTCTATCATGAATAAAGGAAATTTATTTTTTATTTTTATTTTTTTGAGAGGTTTTTGCTATAGGGTGCGTGCGCTCTCCAGACAGACAGACAGAGACAGAGAGACAGAAAGCAGGAAATCACCCCCCAGGGGGGATGGCCACGTCACAATCCCTTCTCCTCCATTCTTCTCTCAGGATCTTGGGCACGCATGCACATGTGCCCGGCGTGAATTTAAGCCACTGGGTCCGGAACGTGAACCATGGTCGACTACGTGGGGAGTCCAGCGACATAGCCATTACGCTAACAGCTGGTCCCAAAGGACATTTATTTTTAAAAGATATTTTTGCTATAGGGTATGTGTGCTTGCCAGAGACAGAAAAAGATAGAGCGACAGAAAGCAAGAAATGACCCCCCAAGGGTGTTGGCCATGCCGTAATTCCTTCTCCTCTATTCTCTTCTCAGAATTTTGGGCATGAATGCACATGTACCCAGCATGAGTTTCAAGCCTCCGGGTCCAGGACTTGAACTGTGCTCGGCCATGTGGGAATCCAGTGAAGTAATAGTTATGCCACCTGCTGGTCCCAGGAAAATTTTTGCATGAAGCTTATTTATTTATTTATTTTTTAAAAAGAAGTTTTAGCCTAAGGGCATGTGCCCACAGAGAGACAGGGACAGTGAGAGGGATAAGTGAGAAATCATCCCCCGGGGGAATGGTCACACCACAATCCCTTCCTTCTCCGTTTTCCTCTTGGGACCTTGGACATGCACACCCATGTGCCCAGTGTGAGTTTCAAGTCACTGGGACTGGTACTCAAATCACGGTCAGTCAGTGGGAGTCCAGTTACATAACCGCTATGCCATCTGCTGGCCCTACATGAAGTTTTAAAAAAATCTATTTTTTGAGAGATTTTGCTATAGGGTGTGGGTGCTGGTCAGAGAGCTAGAGACAGAGAGGCAGAAAGTGAGAAATCACTCTTGGTAGGGAGTGTCCATGACGCAATCCTTTCTCCTCCATTCTTCTTTTGAGATTCTGGGCAGACAGACACATGCGCCAGGGTGTTTCAAGCCTCTGGGTCTGGGACTTGAACTGTGCTTGGCCACATGGGAGTCTAGTGCCTTAATCACCATGCCACCTGCTGGTCCCTTTTTGAATTTTTAATTTTTTAAAAAGAAATAATTAATCATTTATTTTGATTTGACTAGAGAAAGACACACAGAGAGAAAGTGAGAAAGTAAGCTGCCAGGTCTGAGACTTGAACTGTGGTCGACCATGTGGGAGGGTTCAGCCCCTTAACCACCATGCCACCTGCTCGCCCCTTTAAATTTATTTTTAATTTTAGAGCACATATGCTCACTGGACAGAAACAGACGGACAGACAGACAGAGGGAAAGTGAGAACTCACTCCTGGGAAGGATGGCTACACCCCAATTCTTTCTGCATTCTCCTCTTAGAATTTTGATCATGCATGCAGGATGATCAAAGCATGATTACTGGAACTTGAACTATGGTTGGCCATATAGAAGTCTAGTGCCTTAACCACACCACCAGCTGGTCCCCCCATTTTTTTTTTTTTTCTTAATAATTTGCTAGGGGCACATGAACTACCTGGAAAGAGAGAGAGGGAAAGTGAGAAAACACCTCCCAAGGGAACTGGTCATGCCACAATTCCTTGTCCTCTATTTCTTTCTTCTTTCAGGATTTTGGGTAGGCATGCAAACATGCTTGACAAGTTTTTCAAGCTGCCGGGTCTGGAACTGGAACTGCACAACTGGCCATACGGGATCCAGCCACCTTAACCATCACACCATACCCCCAGATACACTCTCTCTGGTGAGTACACCTTCCTTTGGAAATGAATGAAATATATTAAAAAGAAAAAGGTGTTAATTTAACATTTTGATAGATTTCATCTAACTGCCTCTATAAAAATGACTCTATCAACCTAGACTCCCACTAAAACAGTATGTGTTGTTTCTTCATATCATTGCTAGCTCTGTGTAAGATTTTTTTTTTTTTTTTTTTTGAGAGGTATATGGCATGTGTGCTCGCCAGAAAGACAGACAGAGTGACAGAAAGTGAGAAATCACCTCCCAGGGGGGATGGCCATGCCGCAGTCCCTTCTCTTTCATTCTCCTCTCGGGATCTTGGGCACATACGTACATGCGACCAGCATGAGTTTAAGCCACTGGAGCTGGGACTTGAACCGCGGTTGACTACATGGAAGTCCAGTGACATAACCATTATGCTAACTGCTGGTCCCAAGATTTTCTATTTTTTTTTTGGAGAGGTTTTTTTTGCTATAGGGCACGTGTGCTTGCCAGCCAGACAGACAGAGACAGAGGGAAAGAAAGCGAGAAATCACCCCCCCAGGGGAGATGGCCACGCCGCAATTCCTTCTCCTCCATTCTCCTTTTGGGATCTTGGGCACGCACGCACACGTGCCCAGCGTGAGTTTTAAGCCACTGGGTCTGGGACGTGAACTGCGGTCGGCTACATGGGAGTCCAGCGACATAGCCATTACGCTAACTGCTGGTCCCAAGATTTTCTATTTTTCAATTAACTTTATTTAAATTTGACCAGAGAAGGACAGAGCGAAGAGAAAAAGATAGAGAGAAAAAGTGAGAAAGCAAGTTGCCAGGTCCAGGACTCAAACTGTGGTCAGCCATAAGGGAGTTCAGTGCCCTTAACCACCACACCACCTACTGGCCCAGCTCTGGGTAAGATATTTTTAAAATAGTCTTCTCTTGGGGCCAGCAAGTTGCTTGGTGCTTAGGGGTGCTGGACTCCCACATGGCTGACCACGGTTCAAGTCCTGGACCTGGCAGCTTGCTTTCCCACTTTCTCACTCTGTCCCTCTCTGGTAAAATTTAAATAAATAAATAAATAAAGTTAAATAAAGTAATTCTTTTAAAAAAATAGTCTTTTCCTATCCCATCCAATCCCATCTAATCCCAGAACATCGAGTAAGACCTGGCCACTTGTGTTTTTTTTTTTTTTTTTTTTTTTTGGATGTTTGTGAGTGA